TATGATTTGCACTGCCTATTGTTGTTATTTCCCTTAAATCAAGGTTGGTCATATTACTCCTTTGCTAACCTTTGTTGGCTTTCAGTATAAATTCAACCACCTTACCATGGCACATTAGGCCTTTTACTCATAGGTCCCATCCTTCTTTAATGGTCTTCATTCTTGTCATGACAGTATGTCTTCCCCTCAACCCTCCATTAAATACTCCTGTTATACTCAATTTCTCACTAATGTATGGGACACCAGGCCTAGTTACTCTGTACATTTACACTTAGGGTTTCTTCCTCTTAGGGTACTTTTCTTCCCTCTGCCCCTCTGCCCCACCCCAAACATCTTTGCTGGTAAGTGCTCTATTTGAGGTGCAGTTCAAATGACATCTCTTTCATAAAGCCTCTTTTAGTCTCCTAGTCAGAATTGGTTGCCCCATCTTTATTCTCACAAGTGTCTGTATAATGTGATTTATATTGTTCTCTAATCTCCTAGGATTTTTCACACTTTCAATAGCAACCAGAAAGTGAGTTTTTTATGTTTTTCCAGCCTCTAGCACAGTACATGGCATATAGTAAGCATTCAGATGTTTGTTTAGTGAATGAAAACAAAGCTTCATTAGTCTGTAGTGATTGAAACAGAAATAAGATATGACAGTGGCCAGCTTGTTATACTATTAAGATCTGTCATTTGTTTTTGTTTGCAGTCAGCTGCCCTAGACATTCTTTTGTGTGTGGCAAATACTTATTCTTTGAGGAACCATTAACAATATCCTTGGTAATGAATTAGGTATCTAACCATCTCTCTCTCTTATCTATGTTGTTCCTAAAAACAGATGCTGCTTTAGAGAAGAAAGTGCAACAATTTAGTCTATAGTAGTGGCATAATTATGTGGGAGATAAAAGTATATATCATATATATAAGTATAGAATTATTACTGAAATTAGAAAAGATCTGCTTGATCATTAAGTTCTTTCACAATTCTGTACATGATTTAATGTGCTGATTTAGATGATTTTGATAGAAGTGCTATGGGAGCCAAATTATTTTATAACCATAGTAATTATTTACTCTGATTTTTCTCTTCAATTCTCTGATTATAGTCTAATTTCTGAAATGATCAAGTATGATAATATGAAAAAAGAGAAGAAATTATATTTTAAAAAACCAATTTAAGTATAAGTAAGAGGATATAAAATATTTGGAGTAATCTAGTTTAAAATTTTTAGTATACTATTGTTTTTTAAAATTAATCTTAAAAGTATTGATTAAATTATTAATTAATATATTTGAATTACCAAATAACACCAAATTATTTTTGAAGTTATTTTAATATAAAATCATAGCTTTTATTATTGAATTACTGAATTTAGAAATTCACATATGAATTTTAGATATCTGTGCATTTTTCATTTACCAACTATTTTGTTAATTATTGATTTCCATCTAACTTTATTTCACCTTTGAGAATGTCATCAAAAATATCTCCATAGGCTGGGGTTGTAGCACAGTGGGAGAGCGCTTGCCTAACGTGTGAGATTCTGGATTTAATCCTCAGCACCACATAAAATAAGTAAATAAAATGATGATATTATCTACACCTACAACTAAAAAGAAAAATCTCCAAAACTCTAATTATACAAAGTGCCCTTAATGATAATAAAAATAGTTTTCAAATGTCTTAAAAAGACATTAAGAGCCAATGGTGCACATTCATAATATAGTTCTTCACCATCATTTTAAAATTTTTTTTTCGTTGTAGTTGGACACAATATCTTTATTTATTTTTATATTATGCTGAGGATTGATCCTAGCACCTCACACGTGCTATGTGAGCACTCTACTGCTGAGTCACATCCGCAGCCCCTTCACCATCATTTTCATTCCAACTTTTTTCATAATGACAAGATTTATTTCGTTATTAGGCATTTTATCATTTAATCAAGAAAAAGACAACTTTGTGATGTAGGTGGCTTCAATTTATATATATATATATATATATATATATATATATATATAATTTATTTATAAAAAATTTTGAACTATAGTACTAAAAGTATATAAACTATAGTACTAAAAGACATAATAAAAATTCTTATATAGTAGCTAATCACTTTCATTATATATTTACCATTTCTATTTTTATGGTTATTAGGCATATTTCCACAATTTAATGAATTTTACTACAAATTTTTCACTCAGTTTCTTTTCTAAAAATTGGCAATAGAAATTACATGTCTGACAAAACCCATTGTTTGGAAAACCAATGTGTCAACTATAAGCCAATATTTTTATTTTTTTCCACCAAGAGATTTATTGGGGGGCTGTTTGAAGGGGAAGAACAGGAGAGGCAGAGAGCAGACAGAAGAGAGAAAGAGAGCAGAGAGAGGAGAGAAAGTATAAGCCAATATGTTAAAAAATATTATTGGAACAAAAAAAATCAAACCATATTTTTATGAGATATTTAAACAAAATAAAAGAAAAATTCTTAAGTTATACATGTTTAGTATGCCACTTTCAAGAGAAATATGTTAAGAGAATTCAAATTAAGGTGCTTTGCAATCGGTCCTGTTTTCTTATTCTTTCAAAATTAAATATTTTCAGCAATAATGTTTATGATTAGAGCAAGTATCAGTAATATTCATTACTGATACTTAATAATAAAATATTAATATTATAGCCAGGTGTGGTTGTGTGCCTTGGGAGGCTGAATGCAGGAGGATAGGATAGCAAGTCAGAGACCAGTACCAGTAATTTAGTGAAACCATGTCTCAGTTTCAAAACAGGGCTGGGGAAGTTGCTCAGTGGTAGAGCACTTGCCTAGGCCCTGGGTTCAATCCCCAGTAGGACAGAAAGGAAACATAATTTTATAATACTTTTATTTATGTGCAGAAATATCACTGAATTCCACTGTTTACTTCCAGATATTTAAAAATATTATTTGAGTAATAACCACTATTATAGAATAATACAGGAACATTTTTACATGACTTGGGATGGAAGTCTAATGTTAGCATTCCTACTTATATTTAATCTATTTTCTTCTGGAACATTATTAATAAATTTTGAGATTGTAGAACTGTTGACCCAATCATACATGTATAGAGCTTGGCCTCTGAGTTAATTAAATATGAGTTAATAATATATTATAAGGAAATTATTATCCTTATTACAGTTATTAGGTAGTTACTCAAATTATAGCTTGAAAGGAATGCAGAGCATGGAAAACTCAGGATTAAATTATGCATTTGAACCTTAGGCCAGCTTTTACTGTAGAGACAGTTTGCTGCTAAAAGAGAAATTGTGTGTCATTGAAATTAAATGCTTTTCGGGGGATGGAAGATTCCAGTTTTTAATGAAATTACTGAGTGTGGTGTAGTGAAATGATTAAAATCTGTATTCCGGGAATGTGGCAGGGGAAAAAAATCAATAAGTGTAGCACAGCTTTGCTGCTCAATGTGAATCCTGAGAATGAAATAAACTACTACAAAAATAATAATTAAAAACATATCAGCACATTAATTTATTTAGCATCAGTCTCCTGAGACATCATCTTCACTAATTTTTAGCATACATTTTACTATGTAATGAGCAGGCTTCTTCTCAGATATCCCTATTAGACAGGCAGTATTTCTGCCCTTCCCCCAGAGCTCCTGCATTGCAATCATTGTACTTGCACTTATTATGTTACAAATGACCGAGGTAAGGCTGACATTCTCAGTGCATGCAAAAAGACCTAGTCTGCCAGCTTTTTTTTTTTTTTTTCCTAATGAAGCAGCTTTGTGAAATCTCCCCATGTGTTAATACTAATGAAGATCCTCCAGCACAATTAAAATCACAGCCAGTGGTTGAGGAGAAAACATAAAACAATAGCATCTTTTAAGATACATTTATCCTCATATGTATGTATAAAATATGTGTGCATGGTCAAATTATTCTCTGGTGGCTTAATTTTTACTTGTTCTTCATCCTGAAAATTAAATTATGCAATTTGTAATTCTATCAACTTTGAGATTTTAATGTGTTAAGAGAAAACACTACCTCAATGAGTGAAGTTGTTTTTTTTTTTTTAAACATATCTTCATGGGTAATAAAGTGTTATCATGAGTAAGCTTTTTTCCCCCCCTTTAATAAATCATTTTAGGAAGCTGTGGAGTGGGATGTGGGAGGGAATAAATAGGGTACACTACCTTTAGTTTAACTTGATTGGTTGCAGGATGTGGGAACTGTGGGGGGAGTGGAAGGTTAAAAACAAAGTTGGAAGAGATTGTGGGGATCAGACCAATAGTACATCGGGTGTATAGTTAAGAGAATGGAGTAAATGAGCTATCAAGTTTTACTCATAATCTGATTTTCAAAAAGGTGTTTAATTCTACAGTTAGCTATCTTTTTTTTTTTTTTTTAAGTTCTAAGAAACTGGAAAAAAAAGATTGAGATTACTGTTTATAGTTTGTACGAATCTTTAAAACAATTTACTACTTTAACATCTTTCATGTAAATTTTATTTTAACTCAGTGCATAAACATCACAGCCAGTTTTAACTCGCAGATGTAAAGGTAGTAGCATTTTACCATGGTACCATTTTGCATCTTGGTTTTTGAATCCTAACATCTACAAATTATAGGCATATTAATTTAGTTGGTTTTGTAGACTTCAACAGAATTCTGAATTTGCGAATATAAAAAGTTTAGGTGGAGATGGTTAAGCTATGCCATCTATTAATCAGTTTTTTAAAAATAAATGTTCAATCCCGTTTTCTGTCCTGTCTGCTTTTAAAAGCAAAACAAAACATTTAAGTTTCTTAACTTTTTCCTGGGACAAGGAACCATGCAAACTCGAAGCTACAGTATTCTTGGAAAGAAGCAGCAACCCCCTCCCTCCCTTGGCTCCTTTAGGAGCTGATAGGTCATTTATTATTGGAACTGAAATGGTATAAACAATTCTCTCTCTTTTTTCCCTTGTTAACAGCAACTTTCATTGTTAGAGAGAGGAGAGAGAGAGAAGCCTTGTTGGTTGACGTCACTTGGTTCATGAAGCCTTCGCCTAGAAGTGAAGCTGCTGAACAAACCTTGAGAAGAATCATCTCCTGCTTCAATCTGCTGCTGGATAGGAACTAATCAGAGAGAGAGAGGCGGAAGACGGAGAAGGAGGGAGTCAAGGGCTTTCCCGATCACCAATCTCACCTCCACTCCAACTCTCTTTATACTTTTCTTGCAGAAATTATAACAGAAATAAGGAGGTGGTGGGGATTCCAAAAACCTTAACCTTCAACCATCTGGGGAAGGAAAAATCCCATCCACCGCAACTCTCAGTTCGAAAGTAAAGGTGAGTTAAAAATCTTCGGGTGTGAAGGGTACGGGTGAAGCTTGAAAATTCCAAATGTTTTGAAGCCGGTAAAAACAGAAAACGAGAAACTACGCTCCTGCGAGCAGGGAGGACTCCGGAGTTGCTTATCTGGAGACGCTCGCCCTGCCCGCCCTGCTCCCTGCCGCCGCTGTTTACCCTCGCCGGTCGGTGTGTCTCTTTGTTGTGCTGGCTGGAAGGCTGGGGTGATTCTCAAGAGTTCCGAGTGGAGTTTGGGGGAGGAGGACGCAGAGATGTGCGGTCCTGGGTGGGAGGCTGGGGGTGCGGTCTCAGGAGAATGTAAACTTTATTTCTAGCTGCCAGAGCGGGACTTCGGGCTCTTAGGGCAGTGGGCCGCGCTCCCCGGGCCGGGGCAGACGCAGCCGCGGCGAGTCCGCCTCCTTTGTGCCGGCCGCCCTCCTCGGCCGCCCAGGCTTCGCGTCTCCTTCCTCCTCCCCTTCGGCTTCCAGCGCTCACGTCTCCGCCAACAGTTTTGCTTCTTAAAAAACAACCTCTGGCAGCGTTGCGATCGCGGTTGCTACCCCGGAATATCCACCGCCTGCCCTACTCCCCGCCGGGGTAGTTTCAAGATTACCCCCCCCCCCCCCCCAGTCCGCCTACTGCTGCCCTTTTTTGCCTCCGCCCCTTCTTCCCTCCTGGACTGATTAGTTGCGGCTGCCCCCCATCCCACCCCCCAATTCGGGCCTCATTTCTCTCCCTATGTAGCTTGAGGGTCTGGAGTTTCCTGAAAATAAGTGGGGGGTGGAGGTGGGGGGTGGGGCTGGTGGGATTGGGAGAAGATCTGGATACCTGGGAAGGTCTGTGTCAGAACGCAGAAGGTTTGAGAAGCTTTGCTTTCCCTACAGTAATGTTTGTGAATCGGTCTCATCTAGCAGTTCTTCCCCAGGAACAGCCGTCAGCTCTAAACTCTTCTGCTTCCCTCTTGTAATCTTCTTGTCCCTCCCCTCCCCCCTTTTGCTTTTTCGGTTCCCCTCCCCTTAAAGTAGTTCCACGAACCCCAGAATTGGGATTTGGAAAAGGAAGTGTTTGAAGAGTCAGAGCTGGCCCTGCTGTTTGAGAGATTGTCTTTTCTTTTCTCTCTCCCTCTGTATTTATCTTTTGTGTGTTGCTTCCTTATAAAGAGAGAAGCAGCTGCAGTCCTTGGCCGAGTTGTTGAAATTTATCCCTTTGTGTATATTACAATATCCTCCATTTTTTTTTCCTGCCCTCTAAACAACAAGCGTTTCGCCATCTTGGGCAATTTTTATTCCAAATCTCTCTCTCTCTCTGTCTATTTTTTTATTTTTGAGGAAGGGAAGGAGGCCATAGAAAGGCCAAAACTGTGTCTGGATAAGGCTCAAAGTTTAGGAAATGTTCAGGGGGTCCAGTGACGTCATGTAAACTTTATTTTCCCAAAAGTAAATTTTTTTTTTTTTTTTTTTTGGCTCAAATTTCCCCGTTTCAAAGGATCTTTTAACTTAACAGTTTAACGATAAGTTGTGTGGCTTATTTTTGTGTTTTGCTCTCAAAATGAACTGACAAAAGTCTGCACATTTTGTTTGGTAACAGGTGGAAGATTGTGTGCAAAAAAAAAAAAGATATAAACTTTTATTTTCTTTGTCATTAACCTAGTTTTTGTGTCCATGTTTCTTATGGTTGTTTCAAATTTATAGTCAGCATGTTCCCTTTTTTGTTTGCCTCCCTATAGATTTTTCTTTAATTAGCTTATTAGTTAATATTTATGTATATATTACTAGATTACCTTGCTCCCCTTTTGTAACTAAGTGTTCTGCTTTTTGTTTTTTTTAATATTTTGAAAAACAACTATTAACAAAAATCTCAAAATACTAAATGCTTTTCAATTTTGGTAAATATTATTAATTCAAACCTTTGGCAAAAATTTAGTATGTAAAAGGCAGAATAGATTTTAATTCATAATCTCTACCTATGAACTCTTTGTCAGCCATTATGAAAAGATGTACAGTAAAAACTAGTGTTTTAATTTGCTTGTCTAAAATAGTTTTTCACCTCAGGAAAGTTGGGCTGGTCACATGATCAAACTTAATGATACACTCACTGACTAGTGTATAAATAAGAGACACTGTAAATTGAATGGGAAAGTGGAATTCTGTCTCCTGTAGTCATTTTCAGTCAGCGTATTTACATCTCTTCTAACAAGGACATGAAACTGTCTGTATTTAATTTGCATTCTCTTTGTCTTCTGGGTTGGAGAAAAACATTGGCTACAATTAACTTAAAAAAACCTATTAGAAATAATTCTGAATATGTTAAAAATGTTTGTCTAAATTGTAAAAACTTTCAATGTAAACGGTATGTGTTTAATTTCTGTATGTTTTCAATTTCTGTTATTTGCTATTTATCCAGGAATTTGCTTTATGTAAAATGCTATATAGAGAAAGCTTGACTGAATTGAATGTGTGCCATTTATGTGAATTGTAGGTAGGTGAAAAATGTTTAAATAGTTAAAAGCACATAGAACAGATGGTTCTAAATTATACATGCAACAAAGGACTGGAAGATTTGGCAGATTATAAATGGCAAGCAACAGAGGATAAGCAGTTTAAGAAAATGGTAGTTAAGTACATTGGATGTCTCACACCTATTGTAAACACTACATATTATTGTCACTGTGTTTCATAATCAATAATTTAGATAACATTATGACACTTGTATATTTCAAATAGAAAAAAGTGAGATTTTACAAATATTTGCAATGAGTTGTTGAATGTAAAATTATTTTAAGTCTGATGACAGTTTTTTTTTTTTTAGAAAATCAGATTGTATGATTTGAAAACAAGATGTTATTTATGAGAACTTAATATTATGTTCATATAAGGGTTTAAAGAGAAATAAGAGTAGGTACATATTTTAAAATCCAAATAATAGAGCCTTAACTGTTGCCTTAGATTAAATTAGTATGAACAAGAACAACATTTACTCTTACAAACACTTAAGATAAAATATTTTTAGACTGTTCAGTATTGGAAATGCATTTGTTAGAGTGCTGTTGGGACTATTTACTAAATATTAAGTGGAAATGATATATATTAGTTTTAATTTTTGAGTTTTGTGATACTGATTTTACTTTATGAATATAGTTTACTCTAAATTTTTAAAATGCAAGGATTTTATGTAGTTTTTGCCTTTCTAAAAGAACATTTATTTATATTTAGCATTTTCAAAAAATTAGAATAACAAAGTATTCAACTTTGTAGAAATTTGTTTTTATTTTTTATAAGCCATCATTTAAAATGCATATAAGACTATAAAGGAAATCTTGGAATTTTAATTCTGTTGCCCTTTCTCCCATTTCTTTGTTTGCATGTTTATTATAGAACTGCAGTGTAAAGGAGCAGATGTTTTGCCAAACATCCTGATGTGTTGCTTTTTCTTATGGGAGTGTATAACTGTTCCTTCTGATGCATCAACTTGACAGCTGGTTGATTTCATGGAGCTGCTAAGAAGCCATTAGTGGTGTCATTGAATTGAAACAGAACAGTCACTCCCAGCTTGAACTGCAATTGTTAATGTCTTTGTTGCTACTTTTGTGTTACTATACAAAATGTAGGATATCACAGTTGTATGAAAGTTCAGGGTTTCTGTCTTACCTCCTTGAATTAGTGAAAGCGTATGTTAGAACTTGATGACTAGTAGGTTTAAAGATTTCTCAAAGAAAAAGATATTAATTCTAGTTTTTGAGTTTTTGAACTAGTCCTTGTTAGAACTACCAAGAGAAAGAATGTGATTTAACTCAAAGTAACAGGGTGATTTTTGATTCCTAAATGAAATTGTTATGATCATGGTTTAATGATTTTTAATATATTTGATTTCCTGAGGGATTAATCAGATTACCTAGTTTGGTTTTTAAGAGGCTTTCGATTAGATAAAATTAAACATCTTTTATCATAAGATCTTAAAAATATTGTTTATTTAATAAAGGTTGACTCATTTGGTTTAGTGTTCTTTTAAACTTTTTGTAGGAGACAATCAGAAGAGAAATAATTATTGGAGTAATAAGCTATTTTGTTTTTAATTTTCTTTTGTAAGGAGGCCAAAATGTTACTTAAAAATTCTTACAAACTTATCTAAATTATTCTGGTAATTTAGTGATCTTTTAAATTAAAATTCTATTTTGTTACAATAACTTTTATTGATAGTTGAAATGGTGATACTAAAATGGTGTCACTATCCCACTGGTACCTAAGTATTTTGTACTTATTTCTAAGTATTTGCATGGTTTGGTCAGTGGGAGGAAAGATGGGAAAGAGGAAAAAGGAAGAATAAAGAATAATAGTAACTGACAAAACACATTTTTAAAAAATTTATGTAAAAAACTTGAAGTTGATAAGATGGTAAGGATATAGTGTGTTTTATTACTATGTTAAAAGACTTGATCTATCCCAGTGTTTACTGATTTTTAAAAATTTTAGACTGTTGGATGTATTAAGCATTTAACAATTCTTTAAGAAGCAAAGAATTTATAACATTTAAAATAATTTGCTTGTTTAAAAAAATAAATATTTAAGTTGTGAAATTTATGGTTAGAATATATATATATTCTGAGGCAAATATTATTAAATATATATATATAGCTGAGGCAAATATTATCAAAAGGTTTTCCTGTATAATATAAGCAAACTTTTAATGCTTATACCCCTGACTGATTCTAGAATTATTATTTCCTGAAATCATGTTTATGGAGACACTTTCCTTTTAAGTAGGTCATATATTACTTTGACTAAAAGTAAGAATTATATTCGGATAATATGCTTTCTCAAGCCTTTTTGTATAGTAATTTTAGAACTCCTTAAAAAGAAAATCTTTGTTACCTTAGACTGTGATTTGGTTTTTAAGAAATATATTTATTTGTTGCATATTTATATCAAAGCAGATAGTCATATAAACCAAATAATGATAAATTGAGTTACACATTAAATATAAACTATTTTCAAAGGAATTTC